TAGAGTGGTAGTGTTTGTAAGATGTGAAGATGGGAAATTAGTAGAAGTGAAAATTGCAGTTGACAGTGTTGATTCAGTAGTGGTTGATCTGTGTGAAGCGGTCGTTGTTTCTTGGGGAGCAGTCCTAATTGTAGATGTTGGTTGCATAGTAGTTATAGATGGAGATGTAGTTGTGGGTAGGGTAGTAGTGGTAGTCGTGGTTGTAGGTGTTGTTTGGGCAGTAGTTGTACTTGGAATTGTAGTAGAAGTTGGACCATTACGTGTAAAAGTTGTGGACTGGGTCGTAGTAGTGGTTGGTACTGTAGTTGTTGTTAATGGGGGGGTGGTGCTCCTTGTTGTTTGTAGAGTGGTAGTGTTTGTAAGATGTGAAGATGGGAAATTAGTAGAAGTGAAAATTGCAGTTGAAGGTGTTGATTGAGTAGTGGTTGTTGTGGGTGAAACGGTCGTTGTTTCTTGGGGAGTACTGGAAGCTATAGTTGTTGTTGGTGGCATAGTAGTTATAGATGGAGATGTAGTTGTGGGTAGGGTAGTAGTGGTAGTCGTGGTTGTAGGTGTTGTTTGGGCAGTAGTTGTACTTGGAATTGTAGTAGAAGTTGGACCATTAGGTGTAAAAGTTGTGGACTGGGTCGTAGTAGTGGTTGGTACTGTAGTTGTTGTTAATGGGGGGGTGGTGCTCCTTGTTGTTTGTAGAGTGGTAGTGTTTGTAAGAAGTGAAGATGGGGAATTGGTAAAAGTGAAAATTGCAGTTGACAGTGTTGATTCAGTAGTGGTTGATCTGTGTGAAGCGGTCGTTGTTTCTTGGGGAGTACTGGAAGCTATAGTTGTTGGTTGCGTAGTAGTTATAGATGGAGATGTAGTTGTGGGTAGGGTAGTAGTGGTAGTCGTGGTTGTAGGTGTTGTTTGGGCAGTAGTTGTACTTGGAATTGTAGTAGAAGTTGGACCATTAGGTGTAAAAGTTGTGGACTGGGTCGTAGTAGTGGTTGGTACTGTAGTTGTTGTTAATGGGGGGGTGGTGCTCCTTGTTGTTTGTAGAGTGGTAGTGTTTGTAAGAAGTGAAGATGGGGAATTGGTAAAAGTGAAAATTGCAGTTGACAGTGTTGATTCAGTAGTGGTTGTTCTGTGTGAAGTGGTCGTTGTTTCTTGGGGAGCAGTGGAAATTGAAGTTGTTGGTTGCATAGTAGTTATAGATGGAGATGTAGTTGTGGGCAGGGTAGTAGTGGCAGTTGTGGCTATAGGTGTTGGTTGGGCAGTTGTTGTACTTGGAACTGTAGTAGAAGTTGGACCATTAGGTGTAAAAGTTGTGGACTGGGTCGCAGTTGTGGTTGGTACTGTAGTTGTTGGTAATGAGGTGGTGGTGCTCCTTGTTGTTTGTAGAATGGTAGTGGTTGCAAGAAGTGAAGTTGGGGAATTGGTAGAAGTGAAAATTGGAGTGGAAGGTGTTGATTGAGTAGCTGTTGTGGGTGAAACGGTCATTGTTTCTTGGGGAGCAGTGGAAGCCGTAGTTGTTGTTGGTTGCGTACTCGTAATAGATGGATGTGTAGTTGTGGGTACGGTAGTAGTGGTAGTTGTGACTGTCGTTGTTGTTGCTTCGGCAGTAGTTGTACTTGGAACTGTAGTTGAAGTTGGACCATTAGGTGTAAAAGTTGTGGACTGGGTCGTAGTAGTGGTTGGTACTGTAGTTGTTGGTAATGGGGGAGGGGTGCTCCCTGTTGTTTGTAGAGTTGTAGTGTTTGTAAGAAGTGAAGTTGGGGAATTGGTAGAAGTGAAAATTGCAGTTGACAGTGTTGATTCAGTAGTGGTTGTTGTGGGTGAAACGGTCGTTTTTTCTGGGGGAGTACTCGAAGCTATAGTTGTTGGTTGCATAGTAGTTATAGACGGAGATGTAGTTGTTGGTAGGGTAGTAGTGGTAGTTGTGGTTGTAGGTGTTGGTTGGGCAGTAGTTGTACTTGGAATTGTAGTAGAAGTTGGACCATTAGGTGTAAAAGTTGTGGACTGGGTCGTAGTAGTGGTTGGTACTCTAGTTGTTGTTAATGTGGGGGTGGTGCTCCCTGTTGTTTGTAGAATTGTAGTGTTTGTAAGAAGTGAAGTTGGGGAATTGGTAGAAGTGAAAATTGGAGTTGACATTGTTGATTCAGTAGTGGTTGTTGTGGGTGAAGCGGTCGTTGTTTCTTGGGGAGCAGTGGAAACTGTAGTTGTTGTTGGTGGCATAGTAGTTATAGATGGAGATGTAGTTGTGGGTAGGGTAGTAGTGGTAGTCGTGGTTGTAGGTGTTGGTTGGGCAGTAGTTGTACTTGGAATTGTAGTAGAAATTGGACCATTAGGTGTAAAA